TTATGGTATATTTATGGTAATTATTATATTAGAAATTTTCAAATGTTGCCATGTTATCTTGAATGCTTATACGTGATCAAATATTATGTTATTTAACAGCTACAAAATATCTAAGATGTTTCCCTTAAGATATATAACTACTTTGCTTCAATAATACAGAAACAATAAAAAATGTAGCCCTTTATAGATCACCATCAAATAATCATTACTTGTTTATTATCCTTGTGAGGGAGAATTTGAACCCCCCATAAAACTCGCAAGCAAAGAAAGAGAGATATAATACGAAATTTAGGAAGAAGGGATATGATAACACCTTTTTTTTTAATTTTTAGCTTATTTTTATAAATATATATTGTATAATGCAGTATCCAAGACAACTGTTCCCACACCCGTTATATTGTCGGTTGTTCAAATATTTAAAGTCGTCTTTTACTTGATATCTGAAGTAGCGACGTTCCTCATGTGCGCACAACTACTGTCACTACACTGTGCGTATACAACACATAGTTATCATACCAAAGCACTTATTTCAGGAACAAATCATATATTCAAGTTACCCTACAATATGTTATGGTATTCATAGAAGAAAAGTTTGTGGACAGGATTACGGAATTGGGAGTAATGAAAACTTAAGGTTATTATTGTCTCATAAGACTTTAAAAAAACAACAACAGGTATTTAAAATATACCTGTTTATGCTATCTAAGTGCCATGTCGTACTAACGCTCAGGAAATTAGAACCACGTGATAACGTCCAGTAAAGGTGTTTAAGACTATGAGTGTTTAAATGTATGAAAACAGTGAGTAAAGTGTGCTTTAGAGGAAGCTTTGAAATATAGTACAGGATGCTTTAGAAGAAGCTTCCATTATGGTAGCTGGTGAAGGATATTTTAGAAGAAGCTTCCATTATGGTACATCTAGAGAGGGTATTTTAGAAGAAGCTTCCATTATGGTACATCTAGTGAAGGATGTTTTAGAAGAAGCTTCCATTATGTTACATCTAGTGAAGGATGTTTTAGAAGAAGCTTCCATTATGGTACATCTAGTGAAGGGTATTTTAGAAGCTTCCATTATGGTATCTAGTGAAGGATATTTCAGAAGAAGCTTCCATTATGGTATATCTAATGAAGAGTATTTAGAAGAAGCTTCTCAATATGGTATAACGAGTGCAGGATGCTTTAGAAGATGCTCATAGTATACGAACACAAAAATATATGGTAATAATAGTTTTCTAAATCCCCTACTGTTAAGAAAGCTTCTTTTCACCAAACATACGACTATTTTCTTCAACATAAGATTTCCTTGTAATCTAGTGTGTAGAGGGTGCTCTAAAAGAAGCTCCTCGCTTGCACTCTGACGCCTGAGAAGCAAATCTGACATATAGTTTCAAACACAGACCTATTAACAGTGTTTATATTCACACAGGTGCAAAGACTCCTACGAGAAAGAGATAGTATCAAATGAGAGAATTGATGAACGCGAATAAAGTGATGGCAACGTAAATGAGTACGTACTTTCACTCAGAGTATATTGCACTAACTCGTAAGAAAGTTTTTGGCGTTTTCTAAGGATTGTACTATTGTGTGTTTTGCTAGTCTTTATAAATAAATGTGTAGATGCCCTGTTATCACTGTTCTATCACACTAAATAAGTCCTACAAATGGTCTCAGCGGTAAATCTGGGGCTCGAATCCCCGCGGTTGAGAAAGTGCATATAGCCAATTATATATCTTTGCGCTTAAAACAACAACATAAATTTCTGCAGCCTTTCAGCTAGACTGAGTGCTCAGAATTTATACAGCTTATGATGTAGCTCGTAACTCCAGATAAGAGCTGGTAATGGTATGGAATTTGTTATCCGCTATGAGTAAACATATTTCACACAAATTAAAACGTTAAGTTTGTGATATTTTGTAGAATACGAAATACTAACATAGATAATTACATATTCAAATCAACTAACATCACTTGTATGAATATCTGGATCAAAACTACTTTTAGTGATTTATATTTTATAAAGAAGAACAAAGCAAAAAACGTAGTTTCGTTCTAACAAAGAATAACTAACTATATGTACGTTGTCAAATTTACTGAGTTGATTTCATGCTAAAGAAAATTCCTTTATATCTCGTCATTGTTACACTCAGGGTACTTGAAACAGCATGTTAGCGCCATGATGTGATTACACCCATTTTGGTAAATTAAGTTCTGTATTAACGTGACGTTAAACACATGTCGCATAATGGTTAAACTTAGGACGTTTGGAGCTACGTGCTAATGTACGGTTGAGGTCACACTCAAGCTGTTTGAGAATATATGCTAGCTTTTGAGTCATACCTATACTCACGCTGTTTGAAACTGTGTGTTAGCTTTGAGTCGTACAAGCATTCACGCTGTTTGTGACTATATGCTAGCTTTGAGCTGTACCTATACTCACATATTTTAAGACTATATGCTAGCTTTAAGCTGCATCTATAGTCGCATAGTTTGAGTCTATATGCTAGCTTTGAGTGATACCTATACTCACATATTTTAAGACTATAGGCTAGCTTTAAGCTGCATCTATAGTCGCATAGTTTGAGTCTATATGCTAGCTTTGAGTGGTACCTGTACTCACATATTTTAAGACTATATGCTAGCTTTAAGCTGTACCTATAGTCGCATAGTTTGAGTCTATATGCTAGCTTCGAGTGGTACCTATACTCACTTTATTTGAGACTGTAAGTTAGCTTTGAGTCGTACCTACAATCACGTTGTTTGAGACTATATGCTTATTTTGGATCGTGGTTACAATTACACTGTTAGAAACTTTGTACTATCTTCGAATCGTTCCTGCACTTGCATTGTTTGAGACTATATGCTAGCTCTGAGTCGTATCTACACTCACAGTATTTGAGAATATATGTTTGTTTTGGATCGTGGTTACACTTGCACACTGTTTGAGACTTTGTGCTATCTCCATTTAACATTGGTGTGAAGATAGGAATTAAGGAACCGTATATAGTGTATTTAAAAATATCAGGATCCTTATAGATAAGACAGTTAGTAATTTTGTCAGTAGCACTACAATATCGATATTCTCCTGAATAAAAAAAAATTTAAAGCTACAAACATTCACATATGAATTATGTATACTTATCAGTGTCTGTGATACAAAATTTCTCATTTACTTACTGGATTGTTTATAGCACACATTACTTTTTATAGGAAAATAATACATTATTGACGAATACAACAAATTACTGCATTGTATTAAATCCATATAAGTAAGTGAAATTTAATGTATTAGGTCATAAAGAAACTGTCACGTTTTGGAAAACTTTCACTAACCACCCCACCTAAAAACGTACATCACGTATAATAGTTAAACGAACCATCTAAACGTCTTGTAAGTGTAGACTATATAATGTATAAAGTTTAGTCTACTCTAATCCCTTATAGTGATGGCACACAACGAGACACACATTCGGCATATAATGCTGTTTGAATACAAGAAGTGAAACAACGCCTCTGTAGCAAAAAAGATTATCAAATAAGTTTATGGAAATGTTTTGAACGTTCTAAGTGTCAACGATGGTTCAGCAAATTTCGTTCAGGTGACTTAAGCCTTAAAAACTGTGATGGCCAACAAGTTGGAATTGATATTAATGCTTTGAAGACGCTTGATGAGTCTAACCCAAGGCAACACACTCGTGAAATGGACCTGAAATTTCATGTCTCTCATAAAACAATACATAAACATCTAAGGAGTATGGGAAAACTCCATAAAGAAGGTGTTTGGGAGCCTCACGAACTCTCCGATAATCATCGTTTCCAAAGTGTCAACATTGCTTCATCCCTTATGGTGCGTAATGCGCGTGAACCATTTTTGGACATAATTGTCACCGATGATAAAATATGGATTCTCTATGCGAATATTAAACGCCAAAAATAATGGCTCAGTCCCAGACAAAACTACTTCCGACCCCAAAACCTGGGCTCCATCCGCAGAAAGTGATGCTTTGCATTTGTTAGGAC